TCTCTGCAAGATGTTGGTCCTCTTGCAGTTCAGGTGTAACCCATCAGACTTGTACAGGTCTCACTTTTGCCATAAATGAACCCAATAATCTGGAAACCTAAAGCCCTCTCTTGTGCTCAAATCTTCAGATACACATTCACTGTTCTATCCACCTATTTCTATACTGACTGGCACGTGGCACTGGGAGTAATCAAGAGATTACAACCTTTGAGATCCTAGTTTTTAATCTAGATCCTAGATTAAATCCTAGATGCTACCTGGATCCCTATCTTCTTCATGCAAGACTTCATCCCTCTTTCTACCTATGTTGTGAGTCCCAGTGTCAATCATGATCTCTGACTGATTGATCTCCCACTTCAGAATACTCTGAAGCTGTTCAGTGATATCTTTATCCTGACCCCAACATCATCCTGGAGTCACTTCTGTGACTCAGAAATGCCTATCTTCATCCCTTAATATTGAATTGCCTACCATTATTGTTCTCTGTTTGTTCTTGCTCTCCTCTTGTGCAGCTGGGCTCCAGCTGCACTCTCTACATGGAAAATCTACTCAAGTGAGATGTGCTCTGGGCTTTCCTATCTGCCTGCTACCCTTCCTCTGACTGATGGTCACCCCATTCCCTTTATGACTGTGCTTTCATAAACTGCAGCATGTCCATGTCTATCCATGTAATCCCTAGCATCAGAGATGCATTGCTGTCTGTCAGCTAATGCCCAAGCTAATTAAACCATTGACAGTTCCTGCAGACGTGTTCATGCAGACTGTCAGCACTGCCTCAGATTTTCCACATACTCCAGGTTATGCGACATACGCAACTGGGGTCCCTACCTAGTCTTAGTCTTAAACTTACTTCCCTTACGTTAACTTAACTCTCCTTCCATTATCTTAATTTTACTCTCCTTCCCTTGCCCAAGTTTGGCTTACTTATATTTCATTATATTGGTCCTGACTTTCACTTATTTTGGTTTTTTTTATGGTACATCGTTTCATTTTATAGCAATTTCTAGATAGCCCCTAAAAGGCATTTCTTACCAGCAAATGAACTTAATACATTTTCTGCGATAACATTCTTGAATTTTTCATCAAGATCTGACCACAAGATGCCTTGTTAAAGCTGGTGAGATGGACTATGACCAGTTCCTGAGGAACTGAATCCAGGTTACAATCAGAATTAGACATCTACCAGCAGTCTACAGCTGTCATAGACTCATGGGAGTTTGTAGCACAGAAACAAGCCCTTCGGCCCAACTTGTCCATGTACTCAGTTTTCACAATCAATCTAGTCCCATTTGCCTGCATTTGGTCCATCTCCTTCTGTACCTATCCCTTCCATGTACCTGTCCAAATGTTTCGTATATGACAAAATTGTACTCCTCTCTACCACTACATCTGGCAGTCCGTTTCAGACACTCACCATCCTCTGTGTGAAAAAATTGCCTCTCTGGACCCTTTTGTGTCTCTCCTTTCACCTTAAACCTACACCCTCTAGTTTTAGACTCCCCTACCATGGGGAAAAGCTGTTGGCTATCTACCTTATCTATGTCTCTCATGATTTTATAGATTTTATAAGGTCATCCCACAGTCTCCTACCCTCCAGGAAAAAAAGTCTCAGGCTATCCAGCCTCTCCTTGAAGCTCAAACCTTCCAGTCCAGTTAGCATCCTAGCAAGTCTTTTATACACTCTTTCTAGTTTAATAATACCTTTTCTATAGTAGGGCAACCAGAACCGTATGCAGTATTCCAAATGTGGCCTTACCAACATCTTGTACAGCTGCAACAAGACGTTCCAGCTCCTATACTCAGTGCTGTGACCGATGAAAGCAAGTATGCTGAAAGCCTTCTTCACCACCCTGTCTACTTGTGACTCCACTTTCAAAGAGCTACGAACCTCTACCCTTAGATCTCTTTGTTCTAAAACACTTCGCAGGACCCCTATCATTGACTGTGTAAGTCCTGCCCTGGTTTGACCGATCAATATGCAACAATTTGCATTTATCTAAATCAGACTCTATCTGCCATTCCTCAGTCCACTGATCAGCCCAGTTGATCAAGATCTCTCTATATTCCCAGATATCCTTCTTTACTGTCCACCATACCACCAAAGATCTCTCTGGATTCCCAGATATCCTTCTTTACTGTCTACTATACCACCAATTTGGTGTCATCCTCAAACTTACAAACCAGACTTCCTAAATTATCATCCAAATCATTTATATATATGATGAATAAAGTGGACCCAGCACTAACTTAATCGTCCTTTGCTGAAATCTAAGTTGCTCTCAATCCTCAAGTCTGCTGCTTTTTTTTGCCAAATTGTATATTCCTTCATTAGATCTAATACTAGCCCTAATTTCCTTTGTTAGCCATGGCCAGGCCACCTTTCCCATTTTGTTCTTGCGTTAGGCAAAAATGAAAAATTGTTGCAGATCCTCTGTGCACTCTTTAAATGTTTGCCTTTGCCTATCCATTGTCATCCCTTTACTAACATTCCCCAGTTGTCCAACATTTGATTCCACTGTCAGGAAATCCACTGGATATGAGAAGTTATCACCTTTTATCCTTATTTCCAGAGGGCCAACCAGAATTGTTTCTGCTCTTTGCCTTCTTTATGAAAATCGTTATCTTTTACAAACTTCTCTTTTTATATTGTATGAGTATCTTTGTGTTTAAAATTAAGGCAATACACATTTAATTCCTGATCATATCTTAGATGCTAAGGAGTGTTTGCCACTTGCTTTGAAAATAAGTTGAGTTTATAATGGCCCAGATTTTTTGATGGCCAAATAGTTGTTATTGCAGCCTAGAGAGGAGGTACACATGGGGATCCTGAGGAATCTATACCATAGCACACTCCAAAGTACCATCACCATCACTAATGAAATAGTATGAGACAAACCAATGGGACTAAAGGCAGATTGCCCCCTGGGCTTTATGGCTTGCAACCAAGGATTCTTAAAGAAGTAGCTACCAGAGATAATGGTTGCATTGGTTGTAATATTCCAAAAATAATTGAATTCTGTAGAAGAACCTGATGATTGGAAAACTGCCAATGTGACACACCGATATAAAAAGGGAGGGAGGGAAAAGGTGGATTACGATAGGCCAATTAACCTACCTTCTATTGCTGGAAAAATGTTGAAGTCAATAGTGAAGCAAGTAATAGTAGATTTGGAAAAATATGATCTAATTGAGCAGAGTTAACATGGCTTCATGAAAGGGATAACAAGGTGTAGAGCTGGATGAACACAGCAGGCCAAGCAGCATCAGAGGAGCGGGAAAGCTGACGTTTCGGGCCTAGACCCTTCTTCAGAAATGGGCAAACTGTGTCTAATAAGTTACTACAGTTTTTCAAAGAAGCTTCAACCAAAGTAGATGGACGAATGAAATAAAGCCTATAGAAGGAATTGATTTTATTTTAGGAAATGATCTGGCAGGTACAAGAATACTGGCTTCAGCAAGAGTGGCTGTAGAAAAAATAGAGGGAAAAAGACAATTGAATATTACAAAAAGAACATCCTGGTTTGTTTCCTTACTGTGTCATGACTAGACAGGATTATAAATTAGCTTGGAAGAAAAGCACTTCATGAAACAGGGAAATGATTTGGAAATTCAGTTATCGGATACAAATTTTGAAAATTTAACTTGAAAAGAATGAAGGCAGAGAGAATGAGACTTATATGTTTAGCCCATCTTCTTTAAGAGAAGTGCAACAAATATAGTTGAAATTGAAAGAGTTATACAAAACAGTCTACTCAGAAACTGAATTCAAGCAATACTCAATTATTAATACTTGAAAAACAATGTCTTAAAGAGGAAATGAAGACCACTTCAAATATTTGCTAACGTGGAATAGACAAAGGCTAAAATGTTGAAATATTTTTAATGGCCAATTTTGTATAAATATGTCGCCAATTGTTGCCAGACATGCCATATATGTCAGTTAGTGGAGAAACCCCAATCCTCAATTTATTCCAAAATTAGCTTTTGAAGAACCATATAGCGGGGCCTTAATAGATTGTGTAAAGCTCCTACCTAAAATCAAGAATTGAAATCAATATTTTTTAATGAATATGCTTGCCTCTACAAGACTTTTGGAACAATTGCTTTCGGGGAAAAGTACTCCAAAAGTAGTAGTGATAAAAATTAGGAAAAGTTAATTCTTTTTGACAAGACATAGATGACCCAAAGTAAAGAAATGATGGCTGGTTTGTAAATTAAGCAATCCACATCTTCTGCTTATCTAGAATCAAAACAGTGTGGAAGCACACCCTCCGAACAGCATCGCACCCAGACCCATCTCCCTATCCTATCCTGCATTTCTCATGGCTAGTCTACCTAACCTGCACATGTCTAGACACTATGGGCAATTTGGTATGGCCAATCCACCTAACCTTCACATCTTTGGACGGTGGGAGGAAACCAGAGCGCCTGGAGGAAACCCACACAGACATGGGGAGAATGTGCAAACTTTACACAGTCACCCAAGGGTGGAATCAAATTTTGGTCCCTGGCACTGAGCCAATGTTTAGTTCAGGGCACTGAAATTACACACCATTGGATCATGACTGAGTGAGAGCCCAGGAAAAATTTAAAATTTGCTACGTACAGAGACAGTACCATAAATTCAGTATATCTGTCAGCAATCCAAATATCCAATTTAGCAGACAGTGCCGAAAGCTGCTATCATTCATTATGGATTAAGTATGAATTGCAACTGAAATGAAGCACTTTTTCTTGTTACTAATTGAAACAACATCTGGAATGTCCACTTCGTTTTGTGATAGTAAACAGGAGGAGGATGTTTAAGGCTGCACAGAAAAAGCCCAAGACCATTTTGCACACAGGGTTCAGCCTGCAGATGATTACCAGTGAATTAATTATCAAGTACATATTATACTGCATCGAAACAGGCTATTTCATTGCCTCAAACCTCATGAAATAAGCAGGATTACAATTTTGTTTTATTCAAGTAGTATCCTGTCTGTGAAAAAAACACTCACCTTTCAAATCCTATCTGTCGGAAGCTCTTTTCCCAATCTGTGCCTAGAAAAAACGAAGCACAAATTAATTAATTATGACAGTCATTGCTCAGAAGAATTCAAAGACTTGAACAAATACATACAAAGTATAATTAGCAATTTATAAATTTTCAATTATCCTAGGCCCAACCATCGTCAGATATTTCAATGACTTCCTCTCCATTGTAAGGTCAGAAATGGAGGAGTTGGCTGATGTTTGCACAATGCTCAGCATCATTTGCAACTCCTCAGATAGTAAAGCAAGTCATGCCCACTGGAAGACCTGGACAATATCCAGATTTGACAGTCGGCAAGTAATATTTATGACACACAAGTGCCAGACAATGACCATCTCCAATGACAGACAATCTAACCATAGTCCCTTGACTTTCAATGTCATTACCACCACTGAATCCCTCACTAACAACATTATAGGGGTTTCTATTGACCAGAAACTGAACTGGATTTGCCATTAGTACTGTGGCTACAAGAGCAGGTCAGAGTCTAGGAATCCTGCAGCGAGTAACTCCTCTCTTGACTCCCAAAGCCTATCCACCATTACAAGGCACAAATCAGGAGCATAATGGAATATTCCCCAATTGCCTGGATGGCCACAGCTACAAAAATACGCAAGAAGCCTGACACCATCCAGGACAAAGCAACCCGTTCGATCAGTACCATATCTACAAATATTCATTCCCCACTGACATTCATGATGTAGTGTGCACCACCTACAACATACACTGCAGAAACTTACCAACCCTTCTGAGGCAACACCCTTTAAATCCATGACAACGTGCATCTAGAAGATAAAGGGCAGTAGATACATGGAAACAAGCCAGCTGTTAAGTTCCCCTCCAAGCACAGATGAGGAGAAATTTCCTTCAGATAAGCAGGCAGTCAGACCATGTGAAGAAGCCACTGTGCTGAGCCACTGCAACATAATGCTTATTTTTAATTTGTTTATCTGACCGCAATGTCTATCCTTTGAACTATGACATATTTCTAACTTATGCTATGATTCACTGTAAAGCAATGCAACTACTTTTCTTTCTTATTCTTCTTTTTTGTATCTAAGATTTGTACCTAGGTACTTTGTATCTAAGATGGTGCCATAAGAGGCGACATTGTAAACTTTTCATTGTACTCGTGTACTTAAGTACTTGAGTACACATGACAATAAAGGATTTTCTATTCTATTCCATTCATTCCCTTGCTATCTAATCTACCTATCTCTGGCAACAGTCACGGATTAAACTAGTCTGTTCACAATGTTGGTGTTACTTAGGACCCTGAGATGAGCCTATAAACCTCACATTTGTGCTATTACTAAGACCAACTAATTCAATATCATTGCCCCCTCTCACTGCCTATTAAAACCTTCACTCATGCCTTTATTATCTCTAAACTTGACTATTCCAACGTTCAACGTGATAGGCTCCCACACTGTACTCTTGAGGTCATCGAATGGTCTGCTGCTCTCACCTTAGACAAGATCACATTCATCCATCATTCTTGTACGTGCTTATTTGCATTTGCTGTGGTTAACCCCGACTTAAAAATTCTCATTCTTGTTTGCAACTCTCTCTATGGTTTTGCCACTGAATACCTCTGTAATCTCCTCCAGCCCCACAACTTTCCAAGATACCTGCTCTCCTCTAATTTTAGAATCTTAAGCATCCATGATTTAATCACTCTGCTATTGGTATCTGTTGCTTCGGATGCTCAGATGTCCAATGCTCTGAAATTCCCTCCCTACAGTCTCAGTCTCTCTGCCTTACTTCCCTGCTTCAAGGCGCACTTTGTTGACAAACATTTTCTTCATCTTATTTACTATCTCCTTACATGGCTCAGTGACATTTTTTTTTACAATGCTGTTGTCAAGCACACTTTTATTATGTTAAAGGGACTATGTAAATAAAAGTTGTGCTTTTGTTGCTTTGATGGCATAAAATTCTGTCAAGTCTCAACAGTTTCTGGATAAACAGGACACTGGGATTCATTGATGGTGTAGCAATTAGGTATAGTTCCACCGTATAATAAGTTTGTACTTTTCGTCATGTAATTAAAAGAAGGCGTTGATCCTAACAGAAGAAAGGATACAGTTATAAGCAGGAAGAGTATAAGTCAGAAAGAAACAAGCAATAGGGATGATTATTGTTCCAAGGATTGGTTGCTAGCTCAGTAAAGAGGAACTTAGGAATTAAAGCATAGCAAAAAGAGTTAAATTGAACAATTTTGTAACAGAGTGGTATAAAAGCTATTAGAGGAAGGAAGGGGACCATAAATAAAAAATTGACTTAGAAGTAAGGATAAAAATAAATTGCAAATATTTTGAACGGTTACTTCCTTCAAATATTCAATTCACCACATGTCCTCCACAGTCAGAGATGGCCAAGCAAAATTGATGACTATGTTATATCTGAGTTGGATGGAATGAAATAACAGAAAAATCAAATACATTTCCAGAGATACTTGGCTTTGGTCCCAGAGCTGAGAGAAACTAACAAGAAGATTTGCAAGATACTGACAATAACCTACACACTCTTCACTGTATTTTTACAAAGAATGCTTGTGATAATAAACGACTCAATTCAGAAACAAAAACAAAAGGACCAGACCCGAAATGTTAACTCTGACTTTTTCTTCACAGACACTGCCAGACTTGCTGAACTTGTTCAGCAACTTCTGTTTTTGTTCCTGATTTACAGCATCCACAGTTCTTTCGGTTTTTATGTAATGATTCAATTCAATTCAATTCACAGGGAATCATTGGACTATGCAAGTTAATATGGAAACTGCATTCATTAATATTCCTTAAAAATGCTTGCAAAAGTCCTTTGTGGTTGATGATCTGTAACAACACCTGTGCATGGAAGTCTTTATTTAAATGGATATAAAATCCTATCTGTAACCACCTCATTGAAATCAAATTGCACTGATAAAAATTACGTAACAGAACAGAATGCCTAAATTAACCAGTCTATGACTGTAAATTAAGAAGTGTAATTTTGTCATGCAGGAAAGAATTATGAACATTTTCCAACGATAAGGCATATGTGGAGCAGCAAACTATATCATGAAACTTGCTCAAACGCAACTGTATGAGATATGGAATGAACTAAACCTACAGATGATTTGTTCAAAGTTATGTGAGGTCCTTACTCTGAGGATGCCCTTTAATGATTCTAAAAAGGAAAAACTCCTCTCAATTAAAATTTATGCATCTAAGTATAAACCAGAAGCAACAAAGATGTTGTAAACGGAGAGAAAGAAGTACTTTGCTTCATTACTGAGATTTTCATCGAGCTGTCGAAATATTATGTGTAAAATCAAACTCTTTTTCCAATGTCAAGAATCTTATTTTTATTCTGACCATATTTTGCCAACTGTATTGCCAGTACCCATGTTGTTAAGTGCCTTGAAAAATTCAGCCATGTATACATGAATTCAACAAATTTGATCAATTATAGGACGATATCAGGAAAAATAAACACAAAACCAGCTATAAATTATTAAAAAGGGGACTGTTCTATTACCAAATATGGTCTACATATGTAACTTCTGATATTTTCATTGCAACACCAAACATTTCTCCTCAGACATCTAACAGCCCTGTTTGCTTTGTATGTTAATTGCTGAATACAGAATTTTCACTGAAGATTACATTTAAGATGAACTCCAGATACAGCTGTATATCTGCATATTGAAAAATTTGATTACGGAGCTTAAAGCGCCTGGTTAGTTCTATTCTATTAGTGGATTGTTTTTGATGGTAATGGACATGTCATAGCATTGTTAAATATTGAATGTCATCTCCCATTAGTCTCACCATTTTTGGAACTCCAGAAGATAATCTTGCCTCAGACTGATATGATTTTATTTTGATGTGAAACCATGTAGTCATCTATAAATAATCGTAAGATTTTTGGGTTTATTAAGAGAGTTGTTTATTTATGCAAGAAGAATAATGGTCCCAACACAGCACCCTGTGGTATGTCTCTAGAAGAGGAAGGAATTCCCCCAACATAAACCACATTTTGTCTTCTGCTGATACGGATGTGCCAAATTCATTTGAATAAAGTTGGCCCGATTCCACAGTAGTTGAAGCTTGGGTAAGGACTTTTCATGAAGAAATTTTTCAAGATTTTGAGAAATCTAGTATTGCTATATGAATAAGATAACAAGGTGTAGAGCTGGATGAACAGCCAGGCTGCCTGGCCTGCTGTGTTCATCCAGCTCTACACCTTGTTATCTCAGACTCCAGCATCGGCAGTTCCTACTATCTCTGAGTGAGTCTTGCCATATGAATAGTTTCCTCTCTTTCAAAACGTGATGCTTCTTGTAATGTTATAAACAATTTTCTATTGAATATTTGCATTTTTCACTTAGATATTTTCTAAGAGAGATATTACACACCACTGGAGCTCATGGGACTTAAACGTCAGGATCCTGTCTCAGTTGTAGGGACACTAGCCCTACATTATAAAATACCCCACCAAGCATTTCTCACTTCACAAATACTTCTTAATTACTTAAACAAGTTCAACTTTGGTTATTCTTATTTAACATTGATTAAAATTCCAAGTTCTGTGGCTTTCCACAGCCAATTGTAACCTAGCCAAACTTCTCATGTGAAATATAAAGATAAAAATTAGAACAATTACAGAGTGATAGAGTCATGTAGCACAGAAACTGGCCCTTTGGTCCAACTCATCCATGCCAAACAGGTTTCTTAAAATGAACTAGTCCCATTTTCCTGCATTTAGCTCATATCCCTCTAAACCTTTCCTATCTATGTGCGTGTCCAAATGTCTTTTAAATACTCTAATTGTGTGAGCTTCTACCACTTCGGTCACTCAGTTATAGGAAGGATATTATTAGAGATGGTTGAGAAGAGATTTACCAGGATGTTGCCGGGTATTGAAGGTTTGAGTTATACACAAAGGTTGGATAGGGTGGGACTCTTTTCCACTGGAGCACAGGAGGTTGAGAGGCAACCTTATAGAAGTTTCTCAAATAATT